GATGAACGGGGCCAGCCGTTTGCGCAGCAAAGTCTATGAAAGCCCAGCACACGTGTGATGCCCCACCTTCTTGCAGGCCTTGAAGGTGTTATTCGTACTCGACGGGGGGTCACATGTGTAAGCTAATGTTGCTGCACGCGAGACCTTGAGACCTCATGTCATCTTGAAAGTCCGAGATGTGAGAGCATAAACCATCCTAAACCTCTTCCTAGATAGTATTAGGGAGACCCACTAAGGAGGACCCGTCTTAACCTTATTTATGGCTCTCTTAACAAGGACCTTATTGCGAGGTCTATCTCCCCAATGTTCCCCCTAATCCTAAGTCCCACCCTTGCAGACATGGTGCTGGCATCCCCTGGGTCTCCGCTAAGCAAACCAGTGTTTCTCAGGACTGCCTGCTATGCTACTCTCTTCCCAGGAGCTTGATTCCCCTGAAGTCAGTGGTTTGCAAACTCTGTGATATCATGCCTGATTCATGGTGCAGTGGCTGTGCCGCAAAACGCGTGGACGCTTGGTAGGTCCCCTAAACCCTAAACTCTAAACCCTAGACTTTCTTCGGAAGATCACAAGTCCTCTGCAAAACTCGTCTCATTTGCACGAGTTAAGTTCTAGCCGGGTTTAGGGTGTTAGGGTTAAGGGCTTAGGGTTAGCCCACACCAAGACGAACATGAAAGGAAACGCTCGCGCGCATGTTTTCTTTCAATTCTCTCACAGGCGAAAAAACCATTTAATAACTCCCCGACACTGCACCTCTACACCCGAGAACCCAAACCCCAAACCCTAAATTAAGCCAAGCGAGAGAACCTCGGAGGTGCGGCCACGTCGCCGAATCTGCCGCCGCCGGCTCGGGAGGGCCTGCAATTCTGTTGGGCTTAAGGGTTTTTGAATGGTTTTCAAGCTCTTTTGGATGCCGAGTTCACAAAAAGTGTGCCATTTAAAGATGGTGAAGGAGCCGGCAATTGCTGGCATTGCAGGAAACCCTTGCTGCAGAGCTTCAGTGCAAGGGTTCTCTATTGTCTCAGCCACCTCGCTGCACTGAGGTTTGCTGGCGTCTTGGACATTTTTGGTTTCGAGGCATGATCTTGGGGCTTGTAGGGTTCGGGTTTAGGTTTTGGCATTTGGTTCATGGGGTTTCAGGCTTGATTCGTTTTGTGGGGAGGGGCCGGGAGGAGGTTTTTGCCATCGTGAGACGTGGCAGCAGCTGCAGATTAAACCTGTGAAACCTCCGAGTCAGACTGAGCTCTTGGAGAACTTGGGATGGTTGTTGTGGTCTGACAGCCCTGCTTTGGAGAGCGTGTTGCCAAGAGGCCTTCAAGCACAACTCGCTGGAGCAGCTCTTCATCAACTACTGCAACGAGCGCCTGCATCAGCCTTGGCCTTAGCTCCGAAAGACCGTGCTTGGAAAGTTGGGCTGCAGCTGTGGCTTGCCACAGGGACAGGCTGGAATTTCGGTTTGGTCCCTTACCAGAGCCACCGCAGAGCAATACCTCCTATGACGGTCGCCGGCTGACAGGCCCTGCTTGGCATCTGCTTTCGGCATTACCCAAGGGAGTTGCATTGTGCGTTCGCATCGCGACTACCGAGTACCGTCCATTCGGTCAGAAGAGCCGTCGCAATAGACATAGACCTGACAGATGCGTCTTGGGCTCCGAGGGCCATTGCAGCATTCCAATTCTCTCTGGCTCTATCAACCACTACTGACAACCCTTAGAAACATTAGCAGAGGAAAGATTGACCTGCAACATATGTATCGTATGTCCCTGGGAAGGAATGTGGATGACGTAAGGTCGTGGGTGAGCCGCTTCTTGCTGTTTGCAGTAGTTGCCGCTTTCAGCTGTGGCTTGCCACAGGGACAGGCTGGAATTTCGGTTTGGTCCCTTACCAGAGCCACCGCAGAGCAATACCTCCTATGACGGTCGCCGGCTGACAGGCCCTGCGTGGCATCTGCTTTCGGCATTACCCAAGGGAGTTGCATTGTGCGCTCGCATCGCGACTACCGAGTACCGTCCATTCGGTCAGAAGAGCCGTCGCAATTGGCAGTTCTCACTCAAGAGAGTTGCAGTTTGCCATGTAGTCGCCGGACAACTACTGGCACAGGCCAAGTGAGATGCGCATGTCGTAGAAATTTTTGTGGGACCTCTGCACATGAGTATGCACGACGAATGGTCTGTCGGTGTAGAGGTTTGCAGGCGAGTCTCGCGGTTTCGCTGGCGGTCGGGCGTACATCGGGCCTTAGCACAACTACTCCCGAGGGCCAGATATGCTGTTCAGCTTTGGAGGTTGGAACCGTTCAAAACAACAGTCGTTCCTTTTACCTGCGGAATTTGAGCTTTCAAGTCAATACAAGCAAAGGATGAGCATTCGGCCAGTGGCCTCTCTCCCAGAAGCAGGTCAGACTAGATGACTAGAACTGAAAACAACCTAAACTCGGAGAGCCCAGCAAACCGCAAACCCTAAAGCTTGCAGCACCTCTTGCAAAGCCTTTACAAAGTCATATACTTCTACATGGCCATCCCAGAGCCCTAAACCCCAGTAGCCCTGGACCACTAAAGAGGTTCTTCATCGAGGCTGCCTTCAAGCGGGAGCAGGTGCATGGGCGATCTTGTGGGGAAGGGCTCCTAAACGGGTTCTAAAAAAGGGCTGGTTAGGCTGGTTAAGGATTCTAGTGTGTTCTGTCCGGGAGTCGGTATGGCGACGCTTGAAAGCTCACTTCGCAGCGTTTGGGGGTTAGTATAAGGCTTACTATGAGGGTTACTTCAAGGGTGACCATAAAAGGTTACTAGAAGGGTTGCTAGAAGCTGGCTTCGAGGCTCCTAGAGGATTTCTAAGGGGAATTGCCAGCCGTAGCCTTTGGGACACGGGGGCGGCTTCTTCACGTCGCCAGCAGCCCTGCATTGTCAGGCCATGTGCGAAGAGGAGGGCATCACCATTACTCTGAAGTTCCAGGACATCCCAAAGCCCTGGGCTCGGCTTCAAAAGGGATTAGGAGGCCTAAAGGCGCAAAAGTATTCCGTCACAAGCCCTATGCCTACTCCCTAAAACTTAACTCAGGCTACTGTATAACGTACCTCCAAACCCTATTCTTGATGTTAGGTGCCGTGTCAAGGGGCCTATTGATCTGGATAGCTGCTTCCTCACGGGGATTCCGCAGGACAATGCCCACATCTTGGCTGCCATTGACTGCCAGGCATCTGCAGGGACTCGCAGTGTAGGACGGGGGCCTAAGCAGACCAGAGCCCCAACATTCAGGGCTTGTAGAGCCCCACACTCCGAACTCACACCACCCAATATCGCAAGGCCCATACCCCTTGTGCCAGTACGGCTGCAATGCCTTGGCATGCGAAGATGAAGATCATAGCAGTCAGCGCTCCCACAGCCACAAGTCCTGATGCCAGCGCGAGCGCATTTTGACTATGATTGTTGTATACCGACTGACAAATCACCTTCCCAAACCCTGCCGATAAACCTTGCACTCCCCAAAGAGCCGACAAGCAAGAGGGTAGTTCTCTAAATTAGTGTCCCTTTTGGGGGGTCTTTTTTTATAAGGGTGCCGTACTGTACTGGGGACCCA